TATATATATATATATATATATTTCTGACCAATACATTTGCAAGAAACTAAATATCTCAGATATACGAATTGCATGGGGTAGGACAGGGGGAGGGACTAGGGAGATAAAGCTTCTGCTTGCTCAGATTCTGAAATTATAGGAGCGGCCCCAAAAAGCACTCTTGAATCTAGCGACTTACTCTTTGGAGTTGGGGCTCAGGTGGTATGCTGCATTTTGCAGTTGGGTGGGTCACTGCAACACCAAATGCTCAAACTGCTGAATCCTTTTGGCTTTCCTGCTCTACTTTCCTACTGGCCTCAACCGTCTGGGGGCTTGCAGACATTAGTACGGGGCGAAGAGGATGGAGGCGGGAGTGGCGCGGATGGGGCCGTGGCCGGGCCTCAGCAGAGCTGGAGGGATGGCTGGAGCCTGGAAGAGCGAGGCCGACGGCCTGGGTGGCAGTGACAGCGCTGAGGACACTGCCGCCGCCGCTGCCAGGGGCGAGGACAGGAAGGCTGGGGCCAAAGGCTTCATCATATCCTTCTGGAATGCAAGTTTTGCCTAATAGAGGAAGAAAACCAGGAGCGGGGTGGGGAGATTGTTTTGAATAACAGCAGCACAGATATTTTCATAAGTAAAAGAACGACATTCAGAAGTCAAAATGTAAAAATCTTAACTCTCAGAAGTCAAGACATGATTATTTTCACAAAGCTGGTTTCAAAGGTTCTTGGCATACCTTTTCTTTGATTTGTTTCCATTTCAACTCTTTTTTGGTGGTCCTTGCCCCTGGGCACTAGGACAGAGGAAAGCCTCTCTGAATAGATACTGAAAGTATTTTATGCTGCTGCTCACAAGGAAAAAACAAACACACCCAGAAGGTTTCCTGCTTAGATTATGGAGCTCAATTCAAACTAATGACTTGTTTTAAAACACAAAGAGGCTTTTTGGAGAATATGCATTATCCTTTACTTCACCTCTTAAAAAAGCCGCACTGGGTTAGGTAACTGGAGTTTGGGACCTTGGGGACCCATGAACAGTCATGAAAACAAAGTCAGTTTACACCTCTCTGGCCACTTAAAAAGTATTACTTGAAAAACTGCAGCTAACTCAAATTTGTCATTGGCAATGATTGTAAATGGGCTAGAAACTTTCTCTATTTAAAAGGAATCCCAACGTGGAATCTTCCTGTGAAGTAAACAATCCTTAATCCCTCTCTTTTGCAATCAGGAGGAGTTTTGCAAGCTGGATTTGCTTAATGCGTATAATGCCTGCATGCAGCATCGACTGAGCTTTGGAAAAACTGGAGGTAATGTCAGTATCGCCTTCAGCTGGCCAATCCCAGCTTTTAACCTTAGCAGAACAACCACGCTGGGCTGAGTCCCAGGGAGACTAGGAAATCCATCCATCTGGGTATTTATATGACATCTACTGGTGGAGGCCCTTAATGTTTTTACCAAGAAACTGAAAATAGCACATTTTGAGAGCAGGTAAGACAGGCTGACTATCAACCTGCCTACTGGACCGGGAAAGAGAGGAATACACACAGCCACTGTACTTATTGGAAAAAGAGAGAGAAAGAGGTGGGGGGAACACCCCAGAAAGGAGGAGGATATTAAACAGATGGATTTTGTGTTTGGAAAGCAATCCCCTTCCCCAGGTTTAACATGTTCCAAGATTCCTCAGGCATCATTGCCCTTGTTCCTGAGCCTTTACTTTTCTGTATATGCTGAAGAAGGGAATCTCTTGAAAAGGTCCTGGTGAAGAGTAAGGTATTAGCCCTTAAAGAGGTTCAGTTTCTTTTTTTCTAAGGAAACTTTCTTCAAGGTGTCCTCCAGCAGGGACTAAGTTCATTCTAAAGCTTCTCTCTATGAGGGCTATTTAAGTTCAAAACCCTTTCAGGACCAGTTAGACCCTAGGTCCTCCTTACCCACAGTGCCTGCCCCAGCCAGCAAGGCTGCCCCACAAAACAGACAAGTAGGCGAAGTGAACTTACTGCTAAAATGCTTGGGCTCCGCTGGAGTTTATTGTAAGGGCTGTACTTCGGCTTCAGTGGTTTCCCTGCAACTCGATCCTTATGCCTTCTGCTGGAAATGTGCTGAAAAAAGTTTGATGCATTAGCTGAATCTACATGTGAGTTTTATGCCATGTAAAATATATTTCCTAGACAGAGGTAGTTGGTTCCTCCATTCCCAGTTCTAGGTCCATGTTTCCATGGTGGTGTGGGTAAGATCACCACACTCTCTAAATTAAGACTTGCTCCCCACTCTATCGTAACACCTCTCTCCCTTTCCTTTCTCTATAGCACTCCTCCGACTTTGCCTGGTATTATCACTGTGACTGATGAGTCTGTCTCCCTAAGCAGATTTTGGATCCTTGGAAGACAGGCTGAACATTTACTATCTTAGAAGTTCCTGCTCAACTGTAAGCTCCAGGTGACTGCTGTGCTCATTGGTTTCTAACACCAAGCCTAGAGTCTGACATATAGTAATAGTAGGTGCACAGATATTTGGTACTTTTTCTTCCACATAGCACCTGTTTGTTGTATACCATAGGCATCCTATAAAGTTAGGAAATTTAACTGTGAGCAAAGTGAGAACCATTATATAGATTAGGAGATACATAGTCAAAGGGTGGCCCCAAGCAACAGTGACTACTAATTCAGGATACATTACCTGTTTGAGCTGAATTTCTGAATTAACGTGAACATCACAGATTTCACAATGAAATGTCTTGTTCTGTAGTCCTGACCCCTTACTGCCATTCTGCATCTTTAATCTTGATCCAGGTCTAGGATAGGACTTAATTGGACCAGCCCCATTACGAGCTTCAACCATGGTCTTGTGTTTAGATCCTAAGACAGAAAGAAACACATATTAAATAGCTATTTACGAACTATATGAAGCTCTTGAAAAGTTTATCTTCAGGCTGAACTTCCCAAGACTTTTTTTAATGATGGTTTTAATGCTGATTATAGATTTAACACATTTTCACTGTAAAAAAATGGGAAACCATGAGTATATAATAAAGAAAATATAGAGAAGCATAAGAAAACAAACATTACCTCTGTTTTCACCACCCAGAGATAACCACTGTTATCCTTTTAGTGTATTTCTTTTCAGCTTCTTTTTTTAGTATACTGAAAAGTGTATTTTCAAAATTGGGATCATGCTAATTAAATATCCCGAAAATTTCACGTATCAAATCATATACATATTGTCTTATAATTACACTTTAATGGCTGAGTAATATATTCTATCATATTGGGACTATAATTTGCTCAACATTTCCCTACTGAGGAAATATTAGGTTGTTTCCATTTTTTTCTCTTAGAAGTGTGTTGCAGTGAACATTGTGCATAGGTATTTGTCTTCATTTCTGTCACTTCATCATAATGAGTTTTGGGAAGTATTAGATGCTATTGAGAAAATAAAGAACAGAACAAGGGTTGTCCCGAACCTACTTTTGCCTTGCTGTTTCTAAAGTTGTTATATCGTACATTTCTTAAAATCACTCCTTTGAATCAAAAAAGTAGAGAAGACTGAAGAAACCTAATGTTTGAACAACAAAAGATAAGGTATTCTGATGAGAAAAGGTGAATCTTGTTATAAACATTATTTAAATTTAAACGACAGATGCTAACCTGTGTTGTGTGCCTCTAGCTGTGACAGGGAGTTCACAGCCACTTTGCATAGTGAACAATAAAGTAATTTTTTGGCTTTTTCTTCTTCTGATTCAGAAACAGTACCAGGAGCTCCGTTTGTGCTCTTGGAGGGAGAAGTGGCTGCTCTGGGTGGCAGGGGTGTTGTACCAGGTTTGAGGAGAAATGAGCCACCTTCAGAGCTTGATGCCTGACTGGAACTGCTGACTTTCAACTTCCCTTTATCTTCTAAGAGAGACACAGAGAGAGAATGTTGAGGCCTCATATATCATACAGACACAGACAAATTGACATAAAGGAATTAAAAATAGAAATCTGATTTCTAGATGTAGTTTTAAAAAAATTTTTATTTTATATTGGAGCATAGTTGATTTATCAATACAGTGTTGTGTTAGTTTCAGGTGTATAGCAAAGTGATTCAGTTATACATATACATGTATCCATTCTTTTTCAGATTCTTTTCCCATATAGGTTATTACTGAATATTGAGTAGAGTTCCCTGTGCTCTACAGTACGTCCTTGTTGGTTATCTATTTTATATGTAGTAGTGTGTATATGTTAATCCCAACCTCCTAATATATCTCTCCCTGACCCCCCTTTCCCCTTTGGTAACCATGAGTTTGTTTTCTATGTGTAGCATTTTTTTCCAGTGCAGATTTTAGTTCATTGAGCTTGATTGAAAAAGAACTCCATGGCATCAGTTTCTGTATCAGGTCACCCCGAGATCATGATGGCTCACGAAAAACGACTTTTTTCTCCCACTTGCAGCAGGTAACTTTCTGTCTGATATCCCTGAGTTGTAAATTATGTTCCTTTAATAGATAGGGAAACCAGCTACCTTCCAATCTGATTAAATGATGTGATGGTAACATGAAATAAGACATGTAATGGTAGGTTTCATTTGACTACTCAAATTTTAATTATGACATGAACGTAAAGTTAAAATTCAATTTTTACACCAAGTTAAATTTTTTTTAACTTGGGCAGAGGCGAGGGAAGAAACATGGTTAATTTTGGTTATGATTAGTTAAGTTTTTGCTGCTCTTTGAATGGCAATACGATTTATCCAAAATACAATATTTAAAGATTCCATTCATTATACTTATTAATTACTGCCAGTCTGAATCATAAGTTTTAAATAATGACATTAACCACAAGCACAATATGAGGATTAGCCAAATCATTTACAGACATCTTGGCATTTTGATCATGTAGCTACTAAATATTTATAATCCTTGAGGCCCATGTGCAGGCTCTAAGAGGGGTCACAGTGACTTTAACAGAATCTAACACTTCACGGTTCACCTGCTATTCAAGACAGGCTCTGTTCAGTGGCTCCTTTGGGAAAGAAGCTGGAACTTCTAGGTCAACTGCAAAATCCATCACAAGTTTAATCCTAGTAGAGCCTTGCTCTTAGAAAATGTCTGTAGTTATGCTGATAAACTCTCATTAAGACAGAAAGTGGGGGCTTCCCTGGTGGCGCAGTGGTTGAGAGTCCGCCTGCTGATGCAGGGGACACGGGTTCATGCCCCGGTCCGGGAAGATCCCACATGCCGCGGAGAGGCTGGGCCTGTGAGCCATGGCCGCTGAGCCTGCGAGTCCGGAGCCTGTGCTCCGCAACAGGAGAGGCCACAACAGTGAGAGGCCGGCGTACCGCAAAAAAAAAAAAAAAAGAAAGGGGGACTTCCCTGGTGGCAAAGTGGTGAAGAATCTGCCTGCCAATGCAGGGTACACAGGTTCGCTCACTGGTCTGGGAAGATCCCACATGCCACAGAGCAACTAAGCCCGTGTGCCACAGCTACTGAACCTGCATTCTAGAGCCCATGAGCCACAACTACTGAGCCCACGTGCTACAACTACTGAAGGCAGCACGCCTGGAGCCCATGCTCTGTGACAAGAGAAGCCACCACAATGAGAAGCCCGTGCACCGCACCAAAGAGTAGTCCCCGCTCGCCGCAACGAGAGAAAGCCCATGTGCAGTAATGAAGACCCAATGCAGCCCAAAATAATAAATTAATTAATTAAAAGAAGAAAAAAAAAGAGAGAAAGGGAATTAAAACTGAAAATTTGTTTGTTAATTGCCCTAGCTAATTTGGAACCATGTACCATGGACCTGGATGACCAAGAGGGAAGGAATGACGAGGAAAACAGCAGTGAGGTTCTGTGTGTCTCTTCTGTATGTGGGGCAAACCAATGCTTTCACACACATCAAAAGTGAGGGGAGATCATATTTTTACTTAATTGATTTCAGGGATCAGCAGTTGATTTCCATCCCTTTTTCCAAGCTGGATCCATCCATGTCAAGACTGGACATAGCAGGGATACTGTAGATGAATTCCAGGTCTGTGTGGTGTTTGGAATAAAGGAATATTCAGATCCCTTTTAATCCTTGGTTTTCACAATCTATATTCCTTTTTAGCAAGTTTATTAAAACTTCAGGATGCCACAAAATATGATGGAAAAGATCTCAAACTTTTACTAAATTGACCTCAACAGTATGAGAGAAAGAAGTAAAATCATTCTTCCTAAATGGTAGTGGTAAGTAAATTAGATTGAAGATTATTTCAGGCCTGGTACTCTCTTATCTATAAGAATCCCTCAGACTGAATCTGCAATTTTATAGAAATTACAAAGCAGCAAAATAATTCAGTAATCTTAAGATTTACCCCTATGGAATTGCTCAGTTTTTTGTGATGGAATCTTAAGTTATTGCATAGCAAAATCCTTCCTGGCTTCAAGCATTTCATATTTTATGTAAATTCGATCTAAAGAATCTGACATGTTTTAGCTATTTACTCACTCAGTCTTTTACTCATATCACTATTTTAATGTCCCTTATGTTGATCTCTCTCTTATACTCTTATATAGAATTTTATAATTTACGAAGTGCTATCACTTACATTATCTTTTAATCTCTTACAATTTATGACTTGTGAAAAAGTTTCAAAAAACTTGTGAAAAAGATAAGGCTTACAATGATTATTCCTACCTTAAAAATGTGGAAACTGAGGCTCATCAATATTAAATAATGTCCCACAGATTAGTAAGTAGCATAAGTGAGCATGATATTTTCTCTAAATATTCACCATGTAATGTATTAATCTTCCTGCACAAAGAGAGGACTTCATATGGCATTAACATTATAAAAGGCATACATTAGTCACCTGGAGATGTGAAAAAGTTGTTGCTTTGTTTTACTATTGTAGTTTAGTTTTAAAGCATATTTGCCTTAAACGAAAATACCTACACTATTCAACAATCATCTGATTCAGGTTACATTGAGAAGATGGACAAAATTGTATCTTTTTCTCTATATCCCTATTTCTTTAAGAAAAAATACACAGATTTCCTTTTTACATCTCCTTCTCAAAAGAGGTCATTTACTCATTAACAAATGCATATTAATACTATGCTAATTGCTGACAATGTGCTAGACACCAAAGAGGATAATAAATAAAGTATGTGTAGACTTTAAGAAAGTAATAGTTTAGCAGAGGAAATGGATAGTCATTCAGAGATCTCTGATTTATTACAGAAACTGGCAAGAGGCATGAGGGCATAGAATTGGAAGTAATTACTTTTGGTTAGGAAGAAAGACATTTTTCATAAAGGATGTAGCATTCTGTCTAGGTTATGAAGATGGGTTTTGAAGATCAGATTTAGATAAGTATAGAATAGGGTGAAAAGGAGTAGGAAGTGAATGGCTAGAAGTGGACATGTGAGGAAAGGCTTAGGTGTTAGAAAGCTTGGGGTTTGCTGGTGAATACCTGGTAGGTGAGGATAGAAGATGGCAACAGGTTTAATGGGAGATACTATTATAAAGATGGACTGAGTCAGAAGGCAGAGAATATTTTAAAACTCTTAAAGTAGATACTAAGGGTAGCTGGTTTCCTTTTAAAAAATATTAAGAGGTGTGGAGTGATTAAGATTTACATGATTTAACATTTAGATAAATTATGTTTTAGTTTTTATGCCCTGGATAAGTCAGAGTCTTAATCTTTGAGAATATTAGGAATGCATTTTGACTTTGGAAATGTGTAAATGGCTCCATCATATGCAGGTAATTCTGCTACTGGATTGATACTAGATAGTCAATAAGACTGATCCTAAAATCAGGAAAGTCTCTGATGCAATAATTTATTTAAATTGTGGCATTCTTTCTGGATCTGTAAACTTATAAGCATCAAGCCTAATTTTATTATTTCTCATTTTAATTGTTTGATATTTTTATCAAAGTCCATTATATTATTTCTCTTCCCTTACTGGCATTTTTAAAGCCTTCTTATTGTGTGTATTTGAAAATTTAATTAATGTACTGTTTACTTCTGTTTCTTTTAATAAAGATGCATGTCACCTGGAACTTCTGGTTAATATGAATTCCATTTTCAAGTATTCCCTCACCTAATGAAAATTAGCAGGTCTTCTGAGAGTCTTAATTATTTCCTGATTACTCAAACACCTTTTCTAAGCTTTTATCCGACAGGATTTTGAAGCAAAATTTGCTAAGCTACATCAGAATTGCCCTTTGTAACAAATATCCATAATTTATTCATCCAAGTGAATTTATTTCTTCAAAGTAGCCTTCTTGGGAGGTCCCACTCTGACTCACTTATTTTCCAAAGCGCTAAACATTTTGAAAATCTCTCTTTTTGGAACTGTTTTCACATCTAGTTGATAAACCAGGTGAAGGAAGTCCATTTTCAATATTTATGTCACTCTTATTTTTTACTCCAAAAATTTTACTCAAATTAACCCAGCTTATTAGCTCTATTTCACTCAAATACAGCCTCAGAGCACTAATACTCTAACACAGAAGACGAAAAGAACATGCCAGAAGTCTGAAAGCAGTTTTCAGAAACTAATCCTGTTGGTAAATAGAAGAGTCATGTCCATTGATAGGTCTTAACTTTAAAAACAATTAAAACAATATTCTAACCACACCATAGGTCTTATTTTGAAGTAGAACTTTGGAAGCTATAATCAAATTTTGATTTCACTTATGAAGTTTACTCTTGATTTAATGTTATCAATATAAGAAGCCTTTTCTAATCAGGTTTCAACAGTTTACTAACAGATACATATTTTATACAATAAATTTATGCTTGATATAGAAAATAAAGTCAGACAAACATTTAAAAAAATTAAAATCACCCATGATTCTATCATCTAAAATAAAAGTCAACAAACTTTTTCTGCAAAGCACCAGATGGTAAATATAATGGGCTTTG